AACCTCCCATATAGATATACTTATTACCCAGCTTCAAGTTGCCAGTATTTTGCCCTTTTTATTTCGTTTTTTTTTTTGGGGGGGGGGGGTGCTGGAGTGTTTAAAGCATGTTATTTCACCAGAAATAGTTCAGTATGTATCCCTCAATGAAAAGGATTTATTTTTAACATAGTTGTTACTATGTAATTTTCTCATTCAACAAAATTAATAATTAATATTTAATTCTGATTCTCTTTTACAAATAGTTTGTTTGAATCAAGATTCAAACAAGGACCTTTATAGTGTATTTGGTTGTTGAATGTTTTATTTGATAATAGCTCCTTCTTTCTTTTTTCCTCCCTTTTATAAAAGCTATGATTTGTTGAAGAAAAGACACCGAAATGTTGGACATTTATCCTATATCATTTCTTTTTTATTGTGGTTGAGGTGAAACTTTACAGAGAAAATCCATTTTCTGTCCAACAATTTACGTGGTTGGTTTGGTGACATTAGCTGGAATCTCCTTAATGTAGCAGCCACTTTAACCACTTCCTCCCTGAGTTCCCTGTTTCCATCCGTCCTTTTTTCCTGCCCCTTCTTGCTTTCTGAGCTTTGTTTTTGGGCAAATGCTGCTTTTTTGCTTTTGTATGATTGATTGCTCTAGGAGTATGGTTTTCACTGGTTTTGTTGACTTTGTAGGTCTGTCTAGCATTCGACTGAAAGTTGATCCCGGTTCCAGGTTTGAAGTGTGTCTGAGGACCACAGTTTAGGGAGTTCCACCAGCCTCTATAAAATCAGTAACGCCTGGTCTTTGTTATGATTTTGAGTTTTGTTCCACATTTTTCTGACTTTGTCCAGGACCTTCTAGTGTGATCCAGTTAGAATAGTCAGTTGTGGTAGCCAGTCACCATCTGGTTCTTCTGGGTTCAGGGTAGTAGAGACTGTGTGATTCACATGGTCTAATAATAGAGTCTTTTTGATTGATTGTTTCCTAATTGTTTCCTTGAGTCTTTGATTATCCTCACTTTTCTTTACTCTGGACCAGGTACAGAGATAACAACCACCACCAGTAGTTGCTCCTTAAATGGTCACTCTCACAAGCTTTTAAGACTCCCATTTGCTACTCACCAAAGTAGGATGCTGATGATGGTCAGTTTCATGGAGTCACTGACTCCTAGTGACCCTATGAGTATAGGGTTCCAAGGAGAGGCTGGTGGGTTTGAACACCAACGTTTAAGTTAACAGTCCAGTGCTTCTCCTACAGTGCCAAGCCAGGACTCCACAGTAGGATGTTGTTCTTGTTGTGAAGTGCCATTGAGTCAGTTCCGACCCATAGTGACCCTGTATAGGGTTTCTAAGGAGCAGCTGGTGTGAGCTTGAACCATCAACCCTGCAGTTCAAACTGACTTTGCAATCCAGCACATTAACCTACAGCGCCACACCAGAACTCAAAGTAGGATATAGAGCTGCTTTGTTTATTTTTTCTTAGCCTTCTCAGAAGTTTATCTTTTATTATCCTGTTCAAAGAACCAACTTTGGTTTTGGTGTTTCTTTCATTGATAATTCTTTTTTCTTTGATCATCTTTCTATTTTCTAACATTTGCTTGCTTAGCTCATTAATTTTTAGCCTCACTTTCTAATGTATGCCTGTAAGTGATGAGATGGCTTGTATTTTATTATTACTGTTCCTTTTGATTTTCTTGTTAAACTTATGTATGCATATGTTATTTAAATTTCTAAGTGGGTGGAGATTATTACTTTTTTTTATATGTTCTAGGGAGTTCTGGTGACGTGCTGTGCTATAATGTACTGGACCACAAGATCAGCGGTTCAAATTCACCAGCCACTCCTTGGAAACCCTATATAGGATTGCTAAGAGTCAGAACTGACTTGATGGCACTTAACAACAATGACAGTATGTCCTTATAATAAGAGTATACTGATGATGGATGTTCCATGAGAATAGTAAAGTTGCACATAAAGTGTGATTCTAATTTTGCAGATTCTGTAAGTAGAAATAATGAAATTTTATCAGTTTGTTAAGCAGTTATCTTTGAGTAGTAAATTTTTCATTTGAAACTTTAAAAATATTCCAAACTGCTTTATAAACATTTTATTCTTATGATGGAAGAGCTGATATTTTTCAGAAGGAAAGAGGAAATAATTCTGTAAAAGTTGAGGTTCTGAATCATGTTCAGTCATGGACCAGTCATATTCACTTCAATTCAGATATGACCATATGTTTAATGTGTTGGGCATTAGACAAGGAGTTGGACTACTTACAAAAAGAACTACTGTAGGGCACTGTAGTCTGGGTGCTCAAGTACAGTAAGGAAGAGTAGTAGGGTGATGAGGAAAAACTGGCGGGGAAGGGAGGGAGACAGACATAGCTAAGTTCAGTGCCTCAATGGAATGGTGTGAGGACATAGGCGTACAGAGGAAGAGTTGTCCTTCCTTACACAGGAAACTAGTTTAACAGGACCAAGTACAGATCATCTCCAGCTTAAATTCTGAAGACTCTGTTGTAACATTGAATACCTTTTTTTTTTTTTTTTTAAGGTTTTCATTGTTGTCTTTTATTATTAATATATTTATAAATTCAATGTTTGTCTTTGGGAATTCGTATCAGCTGTAAAATTGTATGTAGTACAGATTAATAACAAGAAATCAAACTCAGATGCTGTCCAGTTGATTTCAGCTTTTAGCAACACTGTCATAGGGGTTTCTGTGGCACTGTAAACCTTTCAAGGAGCAGGTGGTGAGTTTGAACTGCCAGCCTTCAGGTTAGCAGTCCAGTGCTTGTCCTACAGCACAAAAAAATTCCAGAACCAAACATCCACTTTAGTAATGATCTACAGATAGCCTCCAACTTACAAAGTAATTGGATTTAAGAAGAAATACATTTATGACTGACTGTTTTTGTTGTATTACACTGGTGGTGTGCTGAGGATAAAGTACTGGACTGTAAGGTTGGTTTGAACTGCAAGATCGGCAGTTCAAACGCATCAGCTGCTCCTCAGAAACCCTATACAGAGTTAGTATGAGTCAGAACCGACTCAAGAAAACTTTAAACACCACATTTTATTACTTAACAATAAAACAAAAATGGGCAGTAATATATAAGTGCAGTTCCTCTTATTGTCTTATAAATTGGGGGGCTACCTGATTAAAGTGGTAGTTTTTTCTGGACACAATAAGTAGTCAGAATTGCCTTTTTTTTTTTTTTTTTTAATTGTGAACTGAGTGATAGTTTACATGGGAGAATGTAACCGTTTCATTGCAATGGTTACAATCTCCTCCGTGCATCATCATTCAAAATTGCCTTTTATAATACTAAAACTACTTGAAGAATTAGAGATTGACAGCCTTGGAAACCCTGTAAAGGGTCACTATGAGTCGGAACTGACCCCACAGCACATCACCACCACCACCAGTATGCTCTGTGTATATAGGTTATTATGAAGGGCCTTTAAAAAGTTCGTGGAAATTTTGAATTAAAAAATAATGAAATTTATGTGTGAATCTTTTGAAGCTCCCCTGAACTGAGCAATTTAGTCCCTTCTGGGGACACTTGGCAATGTCTGGAGGCATGTTTGGTTGTCACAGTCAAGGTAGACATGCTGCTATCTTCTTATAGAGACCAAGGATCTGCTAAGCATCTTCCACTGCATAGAACAGCTTGTCTTCTCCTCACAATAAATAATTTGTGCCCAAAGTGTTAATAGTACTGAGGTCAGTAAACCCAGGGTTAATCTATAATTGTTGTTAAGTGCCCTTGAGTAAATTCTGACTCAGTGCCACCTGTGTAGGGTTTCCGAGGAGGGGCAGATGAAATTGAGCCACCAACCTTAGCATGTAGTTTTATGTAGCAGCAACAATGCCCTCTTTTTGGCAGCTGGGGGTGGATTATATATTGTGGCATGGTTTTGTACCCTGATACAGTTAGGATTTTATTTTATTTTATTTTTAAGTATAAGCTATGGGTCTTTGGAAGCAACTTGATTCAGTAGCGGGCCTACTGGGAAGCACTGTGAAAGGAACTAGGATAGAATGATGGGTAGCCCTGCCATATGGCATTCAAATGGAACATAATATAAATGGTGGGACATTTGTATCAGTTCTTTATGTGGTATAATAATGTAAGTAATTTGTTTCTGTTCTTAATTTGTATATATTGTTAAGTGCCATTGCGTTGGTTCCTACTCAGACCTACTGATAGTGACCCTGTATAGGTTTTCCGAGTAGCAGCTGGTGAGTTTGAACCACCAACCTTGCATTTCACACTACGACTCTAATTTGTATATATAGATAAGTTATTTTTAACCTCTTCTTAGGAATTTTCACGGTTAGCAGTTCAAATCCATTAGCTTAGAAACCCTATACAGGGTCACTACAAGGTCACTATGCTTCAGAACTGACTCGATGGCACTTAACAAGATACAAACTTTCAATACTCATTTGTAATAGGTATTAGTTATTATTGTAATAGGCTAAGATTTAATCATCTCTGCTCTTACTTTGTTGTCATTTGGAACCACCTTGCTCCAAGTCTTCCTTTGTTGTTGAGTGCTATCGAGTCAGTTCCAACCCATAGCGACCCTGTATAGGCTTCCCAAGGAGCATCTGGTGAGCCTGAACCACCAACCTTGCAAGACCATCACATTAACCCACAGTGATACACGATGGCATTAGGTGTAGTCTAAATGTTTAAACTTGTTGGTATACCTGATTACCCTAAAACGGGCATTTTTATGTTACATCTAAAGCAGCAATTCAGATAATGTTAAGTGCCGATGAGTGACCCTTGTACCAGGGTTTCTGAGGAGTAGCTGGTGGGTTTGAACCATTAACCTTGTGGTTATTGTGTAGCAAGCACTACACCAGAACTCCAATGCAAATAATAAATAGGTAGTATTCTACGTGGATATGATATCTAGATGCTCATCAAGAGCAGAACATAGATCAGTTTCTACTTATGGTTGGTTCAAACTTTAACCTTTATCTTTCTTCTTTGCTTTTAGATTTTGGCTCTCTGTTTGACTTGGAGCATGATTTACCAGATGAATTAATCAACTCTACTGAATTGGGACTTACCAATGGTGGTGATATTAGTCAGCTTCAGACAAGTCTTGGCATGGTACAAGATGCAGCCTCTAAACATAAACAGCTGTCAGAATTGCTACGGTCTGGTAGTTCCCCTAACCTCAATATGGGGGTTGGTGGCCCAGGACAAGGCATGGCCAGCCAGCCTCAACAGAACAGTCCTGGATTGGGTTTGATAAATAGCATGGTCAAAAGCCCAATGGCACAGGCAGGCTTGACTTCTCCCAACATGGGGATGGGCACCAGTGGACCAAATCAGGGTCCCACTCAGTCCACAACAGGTATGATGAACAGTCCAGTAAATCAGCCTGCCATGGGAATGAACACAGGAATGAATGCTGGCATGAATCCTGGAATGTTGGCTGCAGGCAATGGACAGGGGATGATGCCTAATCAAGTTATGAACGGTTCAATTGGAGCAGGCCGGGGGCGACCTAATATGCAGTACCCAAACCCAGGAATGGGAAATGCTGGCAATTTATTGACTGAGCCGCTGCAACAAGGCTCTCCCCAGATGGGAGGACAAGCAGGATTGAGAGGCCCTCAGCCTCTTAAGGTAAGTGCAACTTTGATTTGTATGTTATTATCAGTGTGCTTTTGAGTACCCCCTGTGAAGGTGGGAGAGAGAGCTTGTTGAGGGTCAGGTCTTATAATCTGTATTCAAGTTTAATCTCCTCATTGTGAAGCTTTTCCCACATGCTGTCGGCTAAGGAGCCTACTCTGTTGTCACAGTTTTGAAGGAAGCCTTCTATCAATTTTAATTATAACATTCATTTTACAACAGGTTTGTATTCTGTACCTTCACACTTGGTTAACACATGATTGCTAGCTAATTCCTGTTCTTACTGACAAAAGTACTGGAATATTTTCATCTCACTTGTATGCCCAGTTTAGCTTTCATCGGTTTTTGTAAAAATACACTTTTTGAGACACTGCCATGACACTCTACAAACATCCTGTATTCTCACTGCTTGGAATGTCCTTGCTCTCAAAGAGATTTCTCTATCATAAGAGATGATTAAATATGTTTGTTGTTAGTCGATTCTGATTCTTAGCAATCCTGTAAATCTTCACAGGAGCAAAAGCCTCATCTTTCTTCTGAGCAGCTGGTGGTTTTGAATTGCTAACCTTGTGGTTAGCAATCCAGTGCTTATTCTACAGCACCACCAGCTATTTTTATTGAAAAGAAATTAAGGTCTGTTCATTTACATCAACCAGCATTCATGTTCCAATTAATTAGATTTTGGCGGTTGTTTGAAAGTTGTTTTATTGATAGATGGATTTTTCAAAAATTTATTTTCTAATGCTTTTATTGTGAATTGAATGAAGGTTTACAGAGCAGATCATGAGTTTTACATTCAACAAATCATTGCAATGGTTACAATCTCCTCCATTTACCTCTGTTACCTTTTTTATTTTTATTTTTTTGATATATACACAACCACATTGAAAATAAATAGTTGTTTAGATATGCAAATGGCACATTTTGCAAGCCAGCCTCCTGCCAGCAGGCACTCGGCCTGTCTCAGTCCATGGGCCAGTTGTCCTCTGCTGCTCTCTCTTTGTCATCGCCTCTGCCACCATCTCTATTATTGCCACTATTCTGGAGAGGAGTGAGGATGCCTCACTCATGCTCTTCTCTCAATGGTTCTAGGGTTCTCTGTTCCTGAAATTGACATATTAACTGCCACCCCCACCCCTTCATTTAGTTACACATCTTCTACATTTGTAATTTTGTGACATTCGCCATTAGTCCTGATACTAATTACTCACAGTTGAATCATAAAATCCTATCCTCCTCATTACTAGACCCATCTAGACAAGAGGAAAACTAATCAGTGGAGATTCCATCTTATCCCCTGCCATTCTGATCCTAATCACACTCATGAAACCTTGTAAGGCAGCAACTTTGTGCCTGGCTTTGTTAAGTGCCATTGAGTCGATCCAGATTCAGAATGACCCTATATAGGATTTCCAAGGAGCAACTGTTGAGTTTGAACCACAGACACAGCACCACATGAGGACACTCCTTTACGGCCCCTCAGTTTTGATAGCCAAAGTCTTAAATTACCTGTCCCTATCAACCCAGTGTACTGAGGAGGCAAGCTTGATTGATCCTTGATAAGAAGAAAGCTTCCCTTTCGATTGGAAGAAAGCTTTTCTTTTTAAAAGTCACTTTCTTAACTTAATCAATATTAAACATTTTTACAACCTTTAACCTTTAAAAAATGTTCTCATATGTATAAGTAACTAAAAGTTAATTAGAACACATACATTGGTACTTTTTCCTCTGTATTTTTCTTACATACTCATTTTTCTTAAAATGGGATCACACTATAGCTTCAAGTCCCTCTCATGTCAGTTACTTAGGTAAATAGGTATTGAATGAAAGAGATGGCTTCATCAGGAAGGTGGTATTGGAGATGGGCCATAAAGATGGGTTACTGTTAAGAGCTCTTGAGTCTTGAGTCTGTTCCAACTCATAGCAACCTGGTTTAAGGATTTCCAAGCTGCAGCTGTGGGTTTGAACCACCAACTTTACAGTTGGCAGTCCAATGCTTATTCTACAGCACTATACCAGGACCCCATGTGGCTATATGAAAACCCTTTAACTCTAGCATTAAAAAACTCATTATAAAAATAATTAACCAATGCTTGATACATTGTAACATAGGAAGGGGATCTATTTAGCATACCTGCTCTGTAGAATTTCCTTCTCTGGCACTTTTATGTTGTTGTATTGTGTAGTACTTTTAGGACATTTGGAGTGAGAACCACAGACAAGATGACAAATATTAATACATCTTCTAACTTCTAAGAACATATCAGTGAAGAGATAACACAAGTCCCTCTGTTTCTGATGTCTGTATTCCTAAGAGGTGATAGACAATATGTATTCATTCATTCAACTGTTTACTCTGGGCGGGGGCATGTATCAGGGTCATTGATACAACCCAAAAAAATTCCCATTGCCCTTAAGCAGATTCTGACTTGAAACGACCCAGTTGTACAGAGTAGAATTGCTCCCTAGGGTCTGAGATATAAGTTTTTACAGAAATTGACTGCCTTTTAAACACAGAGCTGCTGATGGGTTTGAGCCACTGACTTGGAGTCTAATGCCATTCTGATCAGCATATACAATATATATGCTGATCTGAAAACCAGCTAAAAACAAATAGGTTTTCATGTTTGGTGCAACAGCAGATCCCTCCTAACTTATTTGTAATCTTATGAGCCAGGCATGTGTCTGTAATACTCTCCGTAATTCTGTATTAATGCAAGCATAGTTCCTGAGCATCTTTGTGTATCACTTTTCAATTCTCTGGATCTAGAGGAAAAGAAAACAAATCTTAACCTCCTTCTTAGTTCTGATTGTCTCACATCCTCTAAGAAGCATGTGTTTCAAAAAGAGAACAATGGCTACCCTCTCTGCATCTCTGTTTTAGAACCTGGGAGGCCTGGCCTTGAATAGGCAAGGAGTGTAGCAGTTAGGAAGGATTGCTTAGGGACCACTAAGTGCCAGCTTCTGGTGTAGCACTTGTTGGATCAGTATTGAACTGCAGACCACAAGGTCAGCAGTTCACTCCTCAGAAGTCTTACATGGGGCCGCTATGAGTCGGAACCGACTCAGCAGCACTTAACAGTAAGTGCAAGACAGGAGGGAGGAATTGACCTGGGAGTAGGGGGAGACACACATCTTAAATGTCAAATAGAAGAATGTCATACTTCAGATTTATAATTTAGATGCATGTGAGTATCACGTATCATATTTAAGAGAAATAAGCCCTAATGAGTGCTGTGGCCCTAAACTAAGGTAATGCTATATGAATTGAGTAATGGGAATGAATGAATTTGAGAAATAACGTAGGATTTGGTGTGGAATCTGAGAGATCACCGTTTGTTGACCTTTGTATCCCTAGTACCTAACCCAGCACCTGGCATGTTGCATGACTACTGATACATAATGTGGACATTTATATAACTCAGTAGGCAGGTGGGAATGTTTGAACATAAATCTAATTTTGCTTTCATTCTTTGGTCACACTTGTATTGGCTTGTATCAGTATGCTGTTGGCAAGTCTCAAGTCTTAACAGACATTTTTGTTCCCATGTTACATATTCCTGAATTATTACATACATGTGTTTCCTTTTTATTTATCAGTGATTGTCATTATTCTTATGTCCTTGTTGCCTAAGTTTCGGCTTTTAACATATTGGGAATTTAGAAGCTGACCTCTATTGGGGTCAGTTTTTCTGTTTTGTTTTGAAAGGAAAAAATCCTCCCAACAGAGGATCTTTCTGAGATTCTGTAGTGACATTCTTGGCATCTGATTTTTGTCTTAACTTCCTAAGGCTGTTTGTGGTTTCCTGGCCCGCTTGCATTTTCAGTTTAGGTGCATATCTGTATCATTGTGGTCCACGTAGGTTAGGTGGTAGGTAGTTGGACATCAGGAGTGCATTAGCTATGGAGAAGAGAACAAGATAAAATAACTATAACCGTAGTCTAACAGAAATTAAGGACTATATATTCCTGTCTTAGCATATTTGGTAGGGGAGAGAAGAGGGAGCCTTTGAGGTGGAAGGAGGGAGTGAGGAGATTGGTGTATTTTGGTCTAACTCTGGTGGCAGAACACTGAGGGAGACTGAAAAACAAAAGCCTGAGTGAGAGTTGTTATTGGCTCAAGTGACCAAAAGTGTCAGGAGTGGACCTTACTGGCAGCCTTGGTGTGTAAGAGCTTCTAGGTGACTAAGGACCACACACCGTCAGAACTGACTGAATATCAGTCCTAGGCAAGCAGGTTCCATGTGACTAAATGAGAAGAAACATTTTGTGTTTATTAACAAGAGCCATCAAGGCAGGCTGCAAATTTAAGCATTATTTGAGTAAATTGATTTACTCAAATAATGGCCTCTTAAATAGAATCAACAACATACTGCGAACCACAAGGTCAGTGGTTCAAACCCACCAACTGCTCCTCAGAAACCCCATACAGGGTCACTGTGAGTCAGAACTGACTCAGCATCACTTAATAACAACAGTATTGGGCTTTTATTGTATATCATGTAGATTATTTGTTAGAATGGATTTTATATTTCTATTGGGGTTTCCTTGTCATACTAACAGAAAACACGGTAAAGTATGAAATATAGCTAACTCCCCTAAGTGGTGGTGTGAATTCTAGTGTGGTGCTGGAGAATAAGCACAGGACTGCAAGGTCGGTTTGAACCACAGGATCAGCGGTCCAAATTCACCAGTCGCTCCTCAGAAACCCTATACTGGGTCACCATGAGTCAGAACCCACTCAGTGGCACTTAACAACAAATGGTGGTGGTGTGGTGGAAAGGGGCTGTCAGGTGATTTAGCAACTCATAGTGACTGCTTGTGTTAACAGAGTAGAACTGGCCCATATAGTTTTCTAGGCTGGAAGCTTTACGGGGGAGTCCTAGTGTGGCGCTGTGGGTTAATGCGCTGGACTGCAAGGTTGGTTTGAACCACAAAGTTAGCGGTTCAAGCTCCCCAGCCACTTCTTGGAAACCCTGTTACAGGGTCGTTAT